AGATGGTGCTTGCTCTCTTGCAGTCCGATTTTATGACACTTTTTTTACTTTTTCAGAATACAGCACATTTTCAAATGCACTGAAGAGGTGCCAAAATCGAAAGAAAGAAAACTCAGTGTTCAGTCAGCGAACAGATGAGGCATCTGCTGCTCAGTATTTTCAGGTAACAAAGTCATTCAGTGCCAGCCCTCTGAAAGTAAAGCTGTAGCTTTTTTCCAGTTTTTTCCTGACCTTATCCAATAGGGCATTTAGAAAGGTAGCTCAGGTTTCTGCAGCAAATGGTCAGGCCCTTGTTAGTTTAAGTACAGGTAGCTTGATAGAAAATGGGCTTTATCTTTTTCTATTTTCCCCTCCTCCTTTCCTTTTAGTTTTATGGCTGTCTATCTCAACAACAGAATATGATGCAGGATTTTGTGAGGACGGCCACATATCACAGAGCTATACTACAGAACCACATAGATTTTAAAGACAAGGTAAGCTCTGTTAATTCCAGTATCCTGAAATAGGATCCAAACATAACCTTATCTGAGAAAAACAATGATCAAACTGTCCAGTATGTTCTCTTCAGAAACTCTGTGCATGAATGTACTAAAACATATGGGTTACATATGTAGATATAGGTGTCAGGCACATGGTAATGGGTGCATTGAAAATACCTTACAATCCATGGACTTGAACCAAACTGCATATCCAAACATTAGATGCATTTTACAGCTAGGCCCAGGTCTGAATTCTCTTGAATGTTACAGTCATAGAATTGGGACACTCTCCTAAAATGATATATAGGACAGTGCCATACTGGATCAGACCTGTGGTCCTATCAAGTCTAATTTTCTGTTCTCAGTACTACCCAGCCCTAAATGCTTCAGAAGAAGGTGCAAGAAACTTCACGTTGGGCCGATGTGAGAGAACCTCCTCCTCCTCCCTCCCGGATTAGGTCATGCTCTGTTGGCAAATATTTAGCTTGTATCAGAGCCTGAAGTATAAGACTGTGTCTAACTACTCATGACTAGGCTAAATAACTTAGTGGCAGCTGCAGATTTTGCTAACTTCCGCCTCCCCCCTCTTCTCAGATCATTAATGTATCATGTTTACCCAAATCCACAATGACTCTGAATTTAAGATGACCCCCCCCCCAATAATTAGATTCTAAACAAAGAAAATGTATATATTTGTTTTAAGTGTCGATGTCTAGTTATTGAAGGGTTGTCTTAAATTCAAGCCCCCCTGCTGAAGTGGGGAAAGCAGTTGTAGGGAGCCGGTGTCTAAGCAGTGGAGGGAGGAGGTAGGTGGGGGAGCAGAGGCCGCAGGGGGCTGGAACTTCCATGCTCCTACTGCTGCTGCTACCAGGCTGGGTTGGGCTAGGGCCAGAGCTGGAGCAAAGGTAAGTGGGGGTGGGGAAGGGGGCTGGGACTCAATGTTGTGAAAGGGGTGTCAGGCACGGGGGTGAGAGGCTGTGGCAGAAACCGGCCAGAGAGGCAGGCAGCAGCTGCAGCTCCGGCCTCAGGCCTGGTCCCTCATTGGGGCCGCAGCTAGAGCCATGCAGCTGCAAGCCCCCCGCCCCTGGCCTTGTACTTAATTCCAAGCCAAGGGGCTGTCCCCCCAGCCCCTCCCCCATGTTATATGGGGAAAACACCGTGCCTTGAAATCGAGTGACTATGGTACATTTCAAACAATTCGACAACTAGTATGGAACAAAAAGGCAACTTGAAATCAACAGCTTGTTAATGTAAGAGTCTGCTGAGTCTCAAGATGTCTGCTGAGACTCTGCACTCTGCCTGTTCTGTTCGAACAGCTAGACAGCAAACAAAAATCAGCTGAGGCAAAAGCTGCACTTTCTGCCTTTTGGTTGTTTGTTTTACTCTTTCCTCCTTCCATCCCTACCCCCAACTTTCCTTGTACACTTATCCTCTTTAAAAACACAAGTTCAGGCTTCAAGATCTCAAGACCAGCTAAAACTGATCCCCTGCTTCTGCCCTCCCCACCCCCCAAGAAAGGCTTTTAGTACAATCTAAATCATTATCAAGGCAAGAAATATCCTTTTTATACAAACGTTTGAAGGCAAAATAAGGAGAGTTGTAAAAAAAATTGTATTTAGTCACGTTAAGACCCAGATGCTTTAACTGGGGCTTGTGTAGTTAGTAAACTAGTAATATGCATTTTATGATGACTGTGCAGTGGGAATAGGCCAAACCTCAAGCCATACTTAACTGTTTAATGCTCTAATAGTAAAGCAAAGTGGTTTCATACTGTACATCCTTTTTATGTCTGTGTCAACCCTCCCTTCCTGCACATGAGTATTAACCAAGTAGAGCATGGGAGCATTTGCCTGGAATACCAGTGCCAGTTGTTGTAGACCCTGGATTTCTAAATAGTTCACCTGGAATGGAGAAGGGGCACTGCTTGTCCTTTTCTTCCCTGCCAATCAGCATACTCATTTTTTATAGTGAAAAGGCAGAAAATGAACAACAGATTGCAAAATTATGTCGTTTTTATTTTTTGCGGTGAGGAGAAGGTGGTCAGGTTGGGTGCTATTGCTCTTGTGTAGCAGTGCTGCTGCTTGCTTTCTCTCTTGGTTTATTTATTTTTCCAGCTGTTGGAACTGCTGTGGCCTCTCTTCAGCATACCTAATAGTAGAACCATTACGAACTTGATGCTGTCGGCCACCCACCTAGAAAATGATCTCCCTATTCCCTACCCTTCTGTGAAATGAGAACTTTCTCAACAAATGTGGTTGAATAATTGGGCCAACTACCTTAACGAGAGCATCTTAGAGTTCTAGCGTTGCTTAAGTTTGTATTGGTCAGGTTAGAAATACTGGAACCGCGTTTACTAACAAAGGCAGGAAATGCAAAAGCACAGGCACACAAAGGAAAACCTTTAAGAGGGAAGGAGATGTAAAAGACTACACTAATTTTCACTCCTCAAAAAAAGAGATTTGAAAATATTGTTATTTATTGTTTCCGAGCCAGTTCATACATCTCTGATCCTATTTATTTTTGGATTCCTGTCACTTCACTGCTTTGTAAGGAAGTGAAATTGCCTGGAATGAAAGGCCTTTATGGTGCTAAAGCAACCATTTTCTAATTCCATTTATTTATTTATAATTTTTTTGGGAGGGAAAAATCATCCTTGTGAAGAAACGTAACAGTTGGGTTGGCTTCTACAAAATTGATCCTGGATCCCCTTGATAGGGTTTTTGGCAGTATTTTCAAAACACGTTTCTCTTCATTATAGAATAGCAAATGAGCTACTTAAGTCAACTGTGGGTAGTGCTTGTTCCCCGATTTCTGTTTCATGGGGCACATCTACATGTGATATTAATGTGACACAATAAACTCTGGCACAATTTGCATTGGAGTTTATTGCTGCCGGGTGTAGCATTTACATATGTGCCCAGGACTGCAGCATGTTGAGCTGGAGAGGCACAGCCCTGGCTGGCAGGAGGTTTGGGACGGGTCAGCCTGCCAGCCCGGAGCTGCTCCCCCTGGCTCAATGTGCTGTGGAGGAGCTGGCTGGGACACAAGGGTGCTATACTGTGGGGCTACCTGGCAGGCAGCCCTATACTGTAGTACCCTCATGCCCCAGCAAGCCCCGGTCACCATTTACACATGCTTTATGACAGACTAAATAACTCCCCTGTAGGATAGTACTTGTGTTGGGCTACTGCTATTCTATGGTGGAGTTAATTAGTTTACTCTGGAGCCTGATGGGGCACACATGTAGACAGTGGTGCTTTACTGCAAAGCTCATTAGTCAACTCCACAGTAAAGCATCTCATGTAGATGCACCCATGGAAGCCTAAAGTGTAATGAGACAATTTTTAGAAAGTCATTAATCCTAAATAATTGAGATAAAACAGATTATTGGGTCAGTCTCTTCATCAGTTTGACTGTTGGCTCTTCTGCAGTAATCTCTTAACTGTTCCCTCTGGTACTTTAACATACTTCCAACTTCTTGTGGTAAATTTATTCCTGTGAGGTCTATCCAACTAGTTGATATTAGGAATTTATTTCTAAGTGCCAATGGTCACCTTGGAAAATAGGACTAAAGTGCTTTTTGAAACATTTACTTTAGATTTCAAAGTGTTGTGCCCTGAAATTAAACCTGTTTTAGCATTGTATAATGGAGTAATGGTCTGAAATTAACTGTATGCATCTTAAAATGGGGATGAAAGGATGGGGAAAGAGGCAGTAAATACAAGTTAGAGATCGTTTCCTAAATCTTTTTTGGAAATGGGAAATAAGTCATTTTGGCACGTTTGAAAATTTTGCAAATAGATTATTAAAAAAACAGCCAAACAAGCCTCCCCCCACCAAACAGTTTCATGCATTATCTCGGACCCAGTTTATTACTATCAATTTTTGTGATTTTTTAAAAGTTAAGTTTTGTCGCATTTTAAAATCTTTCCACCTTCTTTTGCTACATGAAGACATGAATAAGTGATAGGGAACAACTTTGACTGGAACCACTGAAATTATTCAGAAAATACGAGTCACATTACAACAAACTGAAAAATAGAGAAGTATCTTCTTTCTCCGAGCCTTCATTTGTATAACAATTCTGAAAGTTAGACAAAAGAAGTATATTAAAAATATTTTAGACCAAGCTGTGACCGGTTTTTAAGTCAGTGGTGTCCTTTGCAAGAATTAGTCTTTGATTCTGCAGACTCTTAGCATGTGAGTATGTTTCCACATGTCAGTGCTCCCATTAAATTCACATGTGGAAAATTACTCATCTGTGAAAAATGAAAGCAGGAAGAGGATTCCTGTCTGACCAGAGGGGTCTAGGGCCTCTCTGACACTTTGATTTGTGACAGTCATGTAAATAGCTGCATTTACATTTCAGAGTAGATAGTGAAGCACCCCCAAAATTTGCTACCTTGTGAGGACTTTGAGCTACACCAGATTCTTATTTATTATAAGTACATGCAAAGCTATACACTTATAAAATAATCTCCCTAACATCCACACCCAAATCTGAAAACTTTTATGTTGAGAATCTTGAACTTCTTACTGAAAGTACTACTGGTGAAGGGAAAAGTCCCAGTCCTACTAACTAATACTGATATTTTACAGCACTTTGTCATAGGGTATCTGCATACCACTATAGGACAAAAGTAAGGAGGAGAAAACTACCCCGCAAAGAGGAAGTAGTGAACCTGGCTTTGTTCAGTGCTGTATGTAAGCCAATAAGCTTTCCTGAGAGGCAGAGCTTTATTGTTATTGAATTAAACATGTTACACTATTTTCAGTTTGGGATGTATTGAGCTAGGCATGTCCCTGGGGCATGCCTTAGTGGCCATTTTTGTCAGGTTTTCATGCCTTTACAGGAGAAAGTAGTTTTCCTTTGGGAGGTTCTACTGTATTCTGTAAGGAATGGTCCTAAATAGAAAGCCATATTTTACTCTATCTGCAATGTTTAGGTATTGGCTCTTTTGTCTCCTCTTAATATATACAAAAAGGAAAGACAGTGTGTTGAGAAACATTTCATCAACATGTTTTTCTGTCGATTCTCTGTTTAAATAGAAAATTGTGCTTGATTTGTTAGTGGCTCCTTTCCACTCTCTACCCAACATTTGCTTTCATTTGCTATTTTGAAGGGTTAGCTCCTCTGGTCATGGACGTGCGGTTTAATACCTGCCAAAGCATGAAAACAAAACTGGCTCCGCAAAAGCATGTAATTCGTAAAATAAAAAATGAGCTTAATAAAATCTCGCATTACGAAAAGAAAATAAGATTAAAGGCAGTGCTTTGGCTCTGAGACCTAATTTGAAGCTATGTAAGAACAGAAACAATGTTAGTTTCCTTCATATTCCATGTATCTGTAACACATTAGTACATAGCCTAGATTTGAAATATTGGAGGGTGGGGGGGAGGGTGGCAGGCATTAAGAACAGAACATACTCTCTGTCCTGACAAAGTTCTTTACCAATATTACTTTCTTGCTTGGTATTTGTACATAAAAATATCTTTTTTTTTTTCTTAAATGCTAGAGTACGGAATGCAGCATTTGGGATTGCTGGAACATTGTGCTTATTAGGACTGAATGGGACAGGTTCTGAATATGTGTTGTACCACTGTATATGCAATTTAGGACACAGGGACTAGTTCAGACTTATAGATTGATGGCTGGTATTTGTTTTAAAGCAGGCACCAAAATGAAAGCTCTTCAGTGTCACATGTGGCACCAACCTGTGGAAAAAGGAAATTTCCTCAATAAGTAACCACTTCATACTAACTAATTAAATTATTCTCCTGGATAATCTGTGGAACTATCTTAGATCTCAGTCCTGTACTCACATGTGTAATCTGATGGATTTCAAATGTGATTAAATTTATGTATATGTGTAAGCGTTTAATTTAAAACAAAGAAAATCAAACCTCCCTGATCCTGCAGTAGGACGACTTATTTGAAGTTACATGTAAATAAGTTTCAGGGTCTTGGATTGAAAACTCTACCGCAGCTAATTGGGGATCTAGAGCTATGTGTAACAATGTTGTAGCAAATGCCTGTATTGACCCTATCTAAATTTATGTAGAAAAGTTCTTCCCCCTCTACCTATATTCTTACATAATTCACACTTTAAGCTGGTAGGTATGTGTTGTGCTTGTATGTGTGTTTGTAACCATCAGACACAGGTTGTTTAAACTCAAATTATTAGAAAAATAGTGCAGAAAAACAATGGGTTTCAATGTATTTTTCAAATATTTTCCTATTATGTATATTTGTCCTTCAACATTTCTGGACAATCTCAAATTTCATTTGAGCTCTTTTGACTTCAGCCTGTGGCCAATACATTTTTTCAGGACATTTGTCATGTATTTAATTATTTTAATTCCTCCAAGTCCCAGCCCCACATTTGTGGATTTACCAATAATTTGTTTTATGGCTTAGTCACAGCGTGACACAAACATGAAAATGTTGAATCTCAAGAAGAGAAACTCAAAGGAGTTTCTGGTGGTATAGATCTTGGGCAAAAACCCAGAGACTGGAATGAGAGCTGTGAAAAGGAAAACAAAAGAAAACCTGTGACATTTGGCTTTTTGATTTTTGTTTTGTTTTTGTTTTGTTTTGTTTTAATTTAAGCATTTCCTTGGGGTAGTATGGTTAGTTTCTGGGGCAAAGGCATGTAGTAATAACTTGAACAATGTAGTAATAACTTCAAAAATAATTTTACCTCACCACACTTTTTGGTAATGGTGGCACATTTTCTCAGGATAGGTTAATGATAAGATCTGCTTGGCATGATATTAGCAAAGTGGTCTATAACTGGACATTTACTCTTCAAGTTTCCTTGAAGCTAAAAGAAAAATTTATTTGAAAATGGCAACATCTCTGTGTGACACTTGTCCTGCTGGTTGGTAGGGTGATTGAAGCTCTGGGATTATAGTTGATTAGACTTGAAGAGAATATATTTCAGGATCAGAGTCGAAGGCTATAATACTTATGTCAGCGAGATGAAAGGGTATTTGCTAAGAGAGAGAGTTCACCTTCATCCCAAATGATGCCATGATAGCCTTGTCAACTGTTCAGGGAGTGAAAACCTCCTTTTGAATGGCAGAGTATGTAGGACCCTGGGCCCCATGGCATAATTCTTCTTTTTATTCTTTTTGTACTGCTCCCAAGTAGAACTCACTCACATTGCCCTTTTCAGAAGTTTTGATGCTGACACAATTTTCTCAATCTCCTTACATTCAAGTAGAAAAATACACAAGCTTAAAAATATGTTTTCTGCCATTAATAGTTTTTTGTAGAGACTAATTATAGGATTTCATGGTGCAATCTATAAAGCAAAATAAGTATGTTCAAAAGTAAAACCCATGATGCTTAAAGGAGACAGAAGGAAATTACTTTTACACTTTCTTTTTTCTCTGCATTTTGTTTTCAAGGTTGTCCTAGATGTTGGCTGTGGATCAGGAATCCTTTCATTTTTTGCAGTGCAGGCTGGAGCAAAAAAAGTCTATGCAGTTGAAGCGAGCTCAGTGGCAAAATATGCTGAGGTAAGTATGTTTTATTTGAGCAGATGTTACGCTAGCCATTGGTTTACTGTGTAGCATAGCCCAGAAGCATCAGAAAGCTTGGACTGTATCTCACAAATAGAAATGCTGAAGATTTTCAGTTTCAGTGGTGGCAGCAGTCCCTTGATATGAGGATGATAGTTTTCCTGTAAATGGGAAGTTATTGGTGAATCCAGAGATGACTGAGGAGGCCTCCGAGATCCTAATGTTTGACTGCAGACATAGCAAATAGTTCCAGGAAGCAATAGATCCTAATGATGTTAGGTCACAACTTTTTCCCTTGGTCTCTCTCCTCTCATTTTCATTGTATAACTTGTTTAAAGAAGTGTATTTTGCTGATGTTCATTTAAAAAAAAATCTGTAAAGGTGCTTTAGCTGGTATAATGCAATAAATAGGAACTACCGGATTCATGGGCCCCAGCAGCCAATCGCATGGCTGTAACACTGACCCCGATTTCATAGCCTTATCATGTCTGGGGCTGCCATTTTGAAGGTAGAGCAAAGCAGCCCCCCATGCCTCTGGCTGGGGGGCATCACAAGTCCCACCCCTCGCAAGCATTGATTGAAATCCCTAGCTGGAGCTGCCTGGCTCCACTCTGACTGGATGCTGCCCCCCACCCTGCTTCAGGAGAAGGAGATTTTTACTGCCTCTCTCTCCCCTGCACTGCCCCTTTCCCCCTGCTTCAGGAGATGGGCAGTCTGCCTTTTTTTTCTCTTTGCTCCCTTTCCCCTCTACCTGCCCTTATAGGAGGGCTAAGTATGTGACCCATTCTTGTTGGACAACTTGGAGCATCCTAATCCTTTGTAGATGTTTTATTAGCAGCACCAAAGTGCCACATAACTTTCACAATGGGCAACCCGTGCAGCTGTGGCTAAGGCAAATAGAAATTGAGATGCCTTGACCAAGCCGTCTTTGGAGGATTAATCATTGCAATAAATCAAACATTTCCACGAGCTTAAAAATGAGGCTTAAGTAAAATTGGGGGAAGCTACTCAGGTAGCTATTTATACCTAGAAATAAGCAATAGGCTTAATTATGTAGGGGTTTGTTTTTTTTTCCTGGCAGTGAATTATAATATTAATTCCTGGGTTTCAGCTTTGGAAGCTGACCGTCTTTTAAGCCAAAACAAAACATATTTGATACTGTAGTGGACGCTTTCCTTTGCTGCCCAGGAATGTAACCGACAACTTTCCGAGCCGGAGATGAGGGCTGGCGTGCCTTGAAGGACTATTCAGCAGTAGGGGTGTCTACTGAATGAGTTCCAGCTGGCAATTGCAACATTGTTACATAGACACCCCTGCACTGCAAATTAAAACTGAGATTTTAAAGGAAGAAAACGTGCAATATTAGAAAGGTTCTCCCCCTCAACCTACAGATATACATAGCTGTGAATCCTCTAAACTTTTATCATTTTCTTTTTGGCAATAATATTGGCTCCGAAGTTTCCCTTTTAATTGTGTATATTAACTTGTGTATTAAATGAATATGCTGTTCTGCAGAAAAGCTGTAGATTTAATAAAGGTATATGAGTAAATGATCCATGTAGCAGCATTGAGCTGGTAATTGCATGCTATTGTCTTCTTATTTCCACCTTCTGTAGGCTGCTATTTAAAAATGCTTGAATGGAAGATACTGCTTAATTTGTTTCATTTGTTTATACACAAGCAAGACTTACATTTTATAGTTGGGAAGTGTCAAAAGGGCTGAAATGTAATTACTTGAAATGACTGGAGAGATGTATACAACAGGCAGACATTTTTCTTTTGAAAAATCTTTTTTATTAAAATTTGGGGTAAAGGGAGGAGCTGTCCCCATGTTTATACCTTTGCTGATCAAAAGAACTTTCTATTGTATCCATAATTTTGTCAGTCACAAAAAGCATTTGAAAAGTTGCACGCACCGAAATAAAATATATATAGGGCAAAATTCTGACCTTGTTCATGTTACATGAACAGGTAGCATTTGATCCATTCTGTTTTATGGCAAATGGCAGCAGTGAGTAGGATAAGATCTCTAATAATAAAAATGAGAAGAGAACTGAAATGACCTAGCTAATTTGGGATGAAATTTGGGGTTTTCCTTGAGTTTTGGTCCTTCATTTAAATCTAATCCTGATCACAGGTATTCAGAAATTATTGTTCTTTGTAGCTTGTTCAGCATCTTACATGAAAAGAGCTGATAGCATGTGGACAGCTCTAATTACATAAATGAACACACACAGACACACATCAGCTGTGAAAAGGTACATACCACAGCTATGTTCTATAAAATACTAGATACATTTATGATGCAATACAAGTCTCATGAAAATATTTGACAGCCTCCTGACAGAGAAAAATATTGGGTTTGGAAACTGAATTGCCTTTCATTCTTATAGCTAGAGTTTCTTCAAGGTGGTGGAATACATGGTAGGGCAGTTTCCACTGATATTGTCTTTATCCGGCATAAAAAGTAGAAGCAAATAGAAAGTTTTGGGATATAACTACATAGCTTACAGCAATTTTATGCAGGGATACCTGGACTAGCTAGGACAAGTATCAGATGTACAGCTGTGTTAACATAGTACTTAACCTGAACATAACATAAGACGTGCATATAGTGCACATATAGTGGGATAGATCAATGATCCACCTAGAACGGTATCCTGTTTTCAACAGTGGTGCGAACGGATGTTTTAGGGAGAGAGCACTGAATTGGATATATTTGGAGTGATCTATACTGGGTTCGTTACCCTTCCTGACATCCATCATCATTGGTTTAGTATAACCTTCTTCTCCATGCCAGGGAGTGTCAACCAACATTTTTCAAACACATGAAATTAACTTAGAAAAAAAGAAGAAGAGATCATATATAACAGCAGCCACTTTGAGAGTGAATGAAATGCTGCAAATAGCCTAGGATAAGAATTAAAGAACACCTTAATTATAATAGGGTGAGGTATGTAGCGGGGGGAATAGTAAGTGAGAAGAAAGCAGTTACCCAAATCCTCACTGTGTTAATTCACAGGTTTAATATTTATCCCTCCCAAAATGGCAGTTTAGTCCTACTTTCCAGAAAAGCTTTAATAAGAGATTGCCATAGTGACTAAGACTTCATTACTCTCAAGGCATATGGAAAGAGGTTAACTGATATAGTATGAAGAACTGTAATTTATTTTAACAAATGCAGTTAATTTAGCAAAGTACAGTTGAGTGATTCAGCAGCCTTAATGTTGCATCAGAGTGTGTGCTCATATTATTTGCCACCTTCAGTATTCCACAACGAGTCTTCATTATAAACTAGTAATTTTCTACTGTATAATAGGGCTCTGTGAAACTTCAGCAGCCGTTTCATTTAGGAGGTATTTCAGCCTGTTTTGGCACCCAAAACACCAAATCCAAAATGAAATGGAAGGCTCCAAAATATCTCTGAAATGAAACAAAACCATCCAAAACATTTTGGAAAATTTCGGCGTTTTGGAGCTGGACTTTCAGGGAAACAGAAACTAAGAAGAGGGAGGGGAAGGACTGCACTAATATTGACATCTGTAGCTGGCCAGTCTGTGATCTGTCCCTGAGGTCCCTTCCAATCCTAGTGCTCTAAGGGAGGGAGGGCAGCCTACTGTCATCCCAGGCACAGATCCGGGGGCCCATGCCCCTCAGGAGGAGTCTGGCACAGCCCCATAGCCCTCCCAGGAGGTGTGGGCCTCCGGATCTGTGTGCGGGATGATAGCATGCTGCCACTGCCAGTAAGTGATGCGAGTTTTGCTTTGAACAATCTGAGGTACAGTTTCACAGAAACCCCTACACCTATCTCCTTGAAACTTTGTAGGCTTCATGCCCTCAGAAGGGGCTACCGTCCCCACAATTTTCATCTGAATCAGGCAAGAAATGACAAAGTTATAGGCATTTTTGTGATTCCCCATTGTAGCCTATGGCCAAATCACCAAAACAGTGTCGAAACTCCGAAACAGATTTGGCCAAATAGAAACAGAACAGTGATCCAAAACACCAAAAAGAATTGCTGTCCCTCCAAAATGGCTGAATCTGAAACAAAATCAAAACATAGCTGTTTTGCACAGCCCTGCTGTATAACATCTGGATTATTACAAGAATGAGTTAATTTCCATTTTTTGCTTCCTGGTTACAGACATAATTTTTATTGTTTTTTTTGCCATCCATTTCAAATTTCAATAGTATAAACTATTGAATGTGAAATTAACAAATTAAGTTTATTTTATGCTTTGAGCAGGGGATTGGACTAGATGACCTCCAGAGGTTTCTTCCAACCTTAAGTTTCTGTGACTTTATGCTCTTTCTACTTTAACTTGAGCTATATGACTGAATAAATCTGAATGACCTGCTTACTGCAATGAAATCATTTTCATTGTATGCATCATTCAGAGAAATGCAATAGTATTTTAGCGAAATGTTCTTGGTTTTACCATAGATCTTTTTGCTATTAAAGACTTCTGTTGAAAAAGTTGTGTAAAATTAAATATATCCTCATAATTATACATTCCTCATAATTATATATATCATTAATATAATCACTTGAGCATCTTGTGCTAAAACAAGATTGAAGTTTAGGATATGAATATGCAATAATTGCAAAGGATTTCCAAGTAGGGCAATTGATAGGAAAGGTATCGTGGGTGCTACATAAGGTGAAATGCTGATGATAGCTCAGTCATCATCAGGTTGTTTCAAACATTTCCTTTTGCAGAATTCTTAGAGCATTGTTTAAGTCTGTCTATATCACTATGTAGCATGCAGTGCTTCTGTGACCTTTTCCATGTTTAGCAATTTATAATTTGCTTGCATTTCCATTTTTCCCAGTGGCTTCACTAAACTGCAGAAAAGATAAAGGGATAGATTCAGTGCTGTGTTAAACCAGTGTTTGTCTGGCATAAATCCAGAGAAATTAACAGAATTACTCTGGTTCTATGCTAGTATAAATGAGAGTAGAATTTGGCCAATAAAATCACAGCAAGAATTTAAAA